AGACTATAGACAGCATTTTGTTCCATATTTTGAATACGTTCTATGATTCTTTCATACATATTTGAAACATAGGTCAGTGACCTGACACAATTGTTTGTGGGTAGATCTTATATTTTATTCATATGGAAGGGAGCCGTTATTTTCTACATTATACTTGGACAACTGTTTTCTTTGTTTATTTTGAAATACGGTAAAAGGTCATAAACCAAATTCATCTATCCTAATTTTATAAAGAACTAGGTTTTCGTTCCCCTGGATAAATGTGAACTTATGACATGACAAATAAGGTTTTTTTTTCTTCAAATAAATATATTTATACTCTCGTAAACATTTGCGAAATTAATTAAAAATGTTTTGTCTTTATTTCACGAGTGTGAAATTATTGGCAAAACATTATGTAAGTACATTTATGAAGTCTTGGCAAAAAATAAATTTTCTAGGTCATATTTATTGACATACTTTAAATTCGTCGTTTAATTATGACAACTTGTCACATTTATATACCAGTTGAAAATTAATTTAAATAAAAACGATTTGATCATATTATTAGGAAACACAAAAGATTAGAACGTGTAGGTACTTTAGACTTTTAAAATCTACCGAGGTTAGGTTAGTAACAAGCCCGTTCGCACGAAGTCTAGAAATAAAAGTGAGTCAACGCCGGTGTTGCCATGCTTTATATAGGTTTCTGCTACAAGATGGCGTTAGTCCGCTAACACGGCCTCTCCTGACACCCTGACGTCCTCGTCAGGATTTGATGTCCCAGCGTCTATACTGTCATGTCTGTGAGTAGAATAGAACGTTAGAAAATTACAGTTCTGGGAAGGTATTGCGTCGTCTATTTGGTCAGCAGCTGAACATATTTACTTGGTTTAATACAAACAATCAAAGTAATGAAAGATAGAAAGGAACTTTAAAGTATCAGACTCCAAGGAATGAGTGAAAGATTATTTATAACCCTTACAAGATTTGAAACAAACTATCACTTTCATGTGTAAAGGACTTGTGTAAACAATTACAAGTTTAGTGTCACCATAAAGGTGTACTTATTTCTCAAGAAGATCGTGAGTTTGGGGCTGGTTACCCTGTCCATTGATCTTTTTACCATTCATAAAGGAAGATCGTGACTTTGGGGCTGGTTACCCTGTCCATTGATCTTTTTACCATTCATACAGGAAGAACATGAGTTTGGGGCTAGTTACCCTGTCCATTGATCTTTTTACCATTAATACAGGAAGATCGTGAGTTTGGGGCTGGTTACCCTGTCCATTGATCTTGTTACCATTTATACAGGAAGATCGTGAGTTTGGGGCTGGTTACCCTGTCCATTGATCTTTTTACAATTTATACAGGAAGATCGTGAGTTTGGGACTGGTTACCCTGTCCATTGATCTTTTACCATTTATACAGGAAGATCGTGAGTTTGGGGCTGGTTACCCTGTCCATTGATCTTTCAAAAAGCAAATATTACAGAATTAGATAGCTTCAGACTTAACACAAATAAAGATAAAACTCAGTATATTTGCAATACACCGTCGTATCGACAGGCTCCTAGTGCTCTCATAAGCGACAATTTTTGAAAACAGAGACTCATACATTTTGCATGTTCTCTAAGTGGTCTAAACACATTAGCACCAGAAAAACTTAAAACAGAGACCCATACACTTGTATGTTCTCAAAGTGGTCTAAACACATTAGCACCACAAAAATTTAAAACAGAAACCCATACCTTTGCATGTTCTTAATAACAAAGACCAGATCATCCTTCTGGAATTTACAAGGGGGGGTCTACGACCCACATTAACGACAGTGTCCTGATTGATTTGACTGTTCTTCAACCGTTCGGCCGTCCTCTGTCAAAGCATCTCTCGTCTACCTTGCCGACTAGACGATCCCGAATTTAATGCGACACTGTTGCACTCTCATGACAAACACAAACAACACTTTTACACAAAGAGCACTTTTAAAATGTTAATCACTCGTGACTTCGTACATTACGGACACAAAGAGAAGGAAAATTTAAACCACAAAGATTACTCAAAACAAAACAAAAGAGAAGTGAGCGAAAAGTTCAAATCCCAATTCTGATATTAGGAAACACAAAAGATTAGAACGTGTAGGTACTTTAGACTTTTAAAATCTACCGAGGTTAGGTTAGTAACAAGCCCGTTCGCACGAAGTCTAGAAATAAAAGTGAGTCAACGCCGGTGTTGCCATGCTTTATATAGGTTTCTGCTACAAGATGGCGTTAGTCCGCTAACAATATTTATTCTTTTCGTATTTTTGAATTCATTTTACTTTTCATCAACACCCAAAATACAGTGCCACTTGCACTAGTTTTTAAAGTTGTGAATCGTTAAAGTTGTGAGAATCTGTGAATTATTTTGGCTGTCATTTTATACCTACTATTGCACAGTTGACGTCACCATACAATATTGACTTTCTTACGTAAAATAAAATGTGCGCAAATGTTCTATATTTTATATTTACGAATAAAGTACAGTGTCTAAAGGTCAAAAGAGCTTTTATCGTTACTTAGCTCGGGGTGAGTACCTAACGATGTTAACTCTTAATAAACTTGAGTGATTCACGCCTTGGGCGGTCTTATGAAGGTCTCGAGGAAAATGAGAGAAGAAATTAGTTAGTGAACTAATTATATTAAAAAAATATATAATATCAAGATATATTTTACTAAAATGTTCGAATACGCAGAAAGAGTTTACCAACTCTTAAAAGGCCAGGGGGCTTAGACAAGATGCCTTAATAGTAGTGTATGTAGAAATTCGAAAACTTAATTTGTATGAAAATTACAGTTCGTGTCGACAAAATTCGCACTCGCGAGCCCTCTGGCATTAAGAGTGTCCATGTGCGGCCGTGGTATCAGGTGAGCCTCCAGCCTGTTTGCTGATAAAAATTTAAAAAAAATACGTCCTATCAAAAACTTTACCACTCACTAAACTATCGTAATGCGACTGCATTGAATCAGTATATTTTGTAAGAGTAAAGGGATATTCTTTTAAAAATAAAACCAAAAGGGAACTAGATTCTCTCATGTGTTAAACCCAGACGTATGTTGAAATATAGGTTGGATCGATTTCAATTTGCCTTATCGGTCGAGTCCAATACAGGCTAGGATGCGTCGATAATTTCATTAATTCTCTCGGTATTGGCAGACAATACAATTTTCAATATTACTCTGCTGTTGACTTTGTTCTTTATTATCTATTTGATACTCTAGCTATATTTAATGTTTACCTATAAATACCTTAGTTGCCATTGTTGCTTCCTTCGAAGTGGTTTAGCGTGCCACTCTCTATGGTCGTATTCGAACCCCGGCTGTGGATTGAACGTTTCATTCTATGTCGAAGAAAATCGGCATGTCTTAGAACTAATGTCAATTTCGTGTTAGAGGCAGAAGGCAGATACTTGCCAATTAGAATAAACAAATGAGCACGAAACAGATACCTGACTAAGACCACGGGTTGGTATTGGTACTGGTTCATTGGTATTTTTTATTAGTAGTTTGAAGATATGATTTGATTGTTAAAAATTCCTTGTAACTTGAAAAGCTAAATACTTGTAGTGAGTAATCATTTTTCATAACATACGCACCTCAAAAATTACTATTAAATTACTACTAAATAATGTATAACAGAAATGGTAGTTGTTAAACCGTCACGTGCTGCTTGAGTCGCTGCTTCTGTCGGATCTTTTTTTAAATTAAATTAGCACATCTCATACTTTCGAAGGTAGAGCCAGAGCGATAAGAAGTACCCAGAGCCTTGCGTCATGGTACTAAAACCAAACAAATATTATTCAGATTGTTAATATCGCTCGATATGTATGAAAAGCCTGTTAGGCTATTGTTTAAAATCAGTCATGTGGTATAAGCGTATTGTGTAAATATAAATTCTGCATCACCGGGATTTTAATTAGCTCATTATGGCGCGTGAAGCTGTGATATTTTTCGTCTAAATTGTTTAAATTGACGGCTTCATTTCATGGCCTTGTTAATTATGTCATTCAGTTTATTAATTTAAACGAAGATTCAATTAATGTTATGTTTCGTGAAATATAATTATGTAGAATTATAAGTAAGTTTGTTTTAAAATGTTCGTATTGTTTTTTAAGATATTCCAAAATATATCGTTTGGCCTCTTTGTTATAAGTCAACTGTCAAAAACAATAATTCCTCGATTTTTTTTATTTTTATTGATTATTAACTAACCTAAATCACATGAACTTATTAAATTGCTTTTTGCCGTCAGTTGTTATGTTGGCAAGAAATGTAACATGCCTAAATTAAAAGAACAAGAAGTCGCAATATGATACAAAATTCAATAGACACATGTGTGAAGCTGGTCACGTGCTACGGAGCTTTTAATGCATAAGAGAATCAGGCTTACTGTATTACGGTCAAGGTAAACTATATCAGTTAACATATAATATTATCTGTGTTGAAAAGATCACTGCATAGGCTATTAAACGATTAACTTTTCGAACTTATGAAACTTCGCGCTATCGTCTTTTGAAATTACGCCATTTCTGCGACTTGCGATTAATGAATATCACAAATAACTAATGATGATATAAGATATAACAATGTTAAAGGCAACGATTATGCCTTTCGAAGAACCAGTATTCGCTAGAAATTAACTACTAAACAATTTATGACATAAAACGTTTTAAGGCATATAAACAGATATGAAACGATGTTTCGAGTGCTTTTCGTCTGCGATGTTTGTTATTTTAAATGTTTGATGAGGCGGTTTAACAACAAAAACCTATTAAAATGTTGCCTTATTAAAAAGTAATAAATTTGTATTAATGCCCGTAAAATAACTTTATATGTAGCTTAATAACAAGACAACTAAGCACTTCCCAAAGATTTCCTTTACAGAGGGAAAGCCTGTAAGATCTTCAACTCTGTTTATCTCTACTAAAATATTATATTTATTAAAAATGTATTTGTAATTTCAGAGGAAGAATGCTACCACTGCATGGCGAGCTTGGTCGCATCGAAGGAGAAGATGTTCATCACTCAGACGAAACTGCTGAATGAGGTCACATGGAAAACTGTCATGCAAATCGCTAAGAAACATGCCGTAAGTTTGGATTATAAATGTCGCAGCCAACTAGCTTAAATAGCCGTTCAATTAAGAGCCTAGCCTTTTAACTAAACGGCACGTTTAACTAACGGCCTGAAAGATGTTCAGCCAGTTGATCAAACAGCTAGGTAATGACTTTGATCGATGACATTCCATTACTTACCTAGCCTGTCGACTGTTAATTTTAATTTAATTCCACTCACAAACTCGAAACGAAACTCTTCAAACTGTCAATATGGCGTCGGCAAACCACAACTTTGATGGTGTTTTCCAAAGTTCCTTGTACTTGTCGTGACAATAATAAAGAGAATTTGACTCAAGCAATTTAATTTTAAAATAAATATAAATGTTTCATCTTTTTTATTTCTGCCAAATAATGACTATCATACGAATGGCCTGAACATTAGCCAGGCAGTTTATTAAATGTTGTAACAAACGCTACGGCTGAATATATTTCAGGCCGTTATATAAACGGCGCCGTTTAGTTAAAAGGCAAGGCTGTTCATTGAACGGCTAATTAAGCTAGTTGGCTGCGACATATATACTATAAAAACAACATTGAACCAGACACTTATTATTAATAGGTACAAATAAAACGAACGAATAATTGCTTTCTTTTGATAAACGGTTCACATTTAACCGCCTTAGGTACCTCTTTGTTTAATTATATTAATTTAGACCTACCTAAATAATTCAGTATTTTTAGTGGTATACGGGCAGATTAAGTATATATAAAAATTTCATTTAAATAAATCTGGATTTAGTTTTTTAATTAATTATTTTTTGGAAGGTGGGTTACATATATTTAAATTGAAATTGTAGGAAAAGACAGGTGCACCGGTGTTAGTAAATTTGACTTAAACTAACTTAAATAAAATGTAATTTTAGTAATGATACGCCCTATTTTATCAAGGCTTGGTTACAGATCTCTTACTCATAATTTGTTGTCATAAAATGATGTAATTCATTATAAACTGCGTACAATTCTTGAATCATAAACTACGCCTTGATAGTAATAAAATGATCCCGAAAGTAATAAAACATTTTGGACGATATTAATTAAACTAGTTATTTTGCATTAAGTAAACATTTATATCCGTTTAAAATTAAAAATAAATGTTAATATTACAACCGACAGTTTTAACATTTATTTGATTAATTAATGCTGTCAATCAGTCTTCCCGTACGCCGGATCACATATAACATCGGGCTGTTCTGTGGTTTTATTTACTGGTAAACTTTGTCTTAACGTGTAAGTTTATTTCGTAGTAAAAGCATATAAGTCTTTTAAGTCCTAGTAGTAGTAAAGGTGACTAGGATCGTTTAATAATAATAACTTATTTATTTCAGATTATAATAACTTATTTATTCAGAGTAACAATTTGGTCGATAGAATTGGCTAGTGATACAAAAAAAAAGTGTGTGTGTGTCAGCTACGACGCACGATTGGAGTTTACTCCTTACGAACGATAATTATGATATATATCGAATAGAAAAAAAGGGTAAATGAACGCATCTGCTAAAATGATAAGAGAAACAAACATATATCTGTAATTATTCGGATTATTTATATTACTTCAATAAAGCGTATTACATAAAGTATGTTACAAAACAATATAAATAAATAATAATAATAACATAATACTCTTAGACTCTTATGTCATTTAACTGGTATAATCATGAAATAAGGACTTATTTATGTTATTAATAAATATGTCCCTTTTAACAACCGAAACTATGGACAAAAACACATAATAAAAGATCTAGCTGTTCGTATTTAAAATGTATATTATTCATAAATGTAAACGATAAGCTTACCAATTAACCGCATCCATGTGTTTTAGAATGAGATACGCTGTGTAATGTATTCCATCTCATTCTTTTACACGTTCAATCCTACAGATATATATGTTTGTCTCTTTCTACATAACGCCTCAACTTTTCGTGTTACACTTGATTTTACTCCTCATAAAATTTCCGTACCGGGCCTTATAACTCAAATCGTTTCTTAAGGAGTAAACTCCAAAAAGAAGCAATTGAACTTCTATAGTGTAGTTCAATCCGTGCAAATTTAAAAAATAAGGGTTTTTTCCACAGCTGACACTGTTTTCATTATTATGAAAACAGCTTTAGTGTCATTGATAATTATTAATTATAATTACAAACAAGTAGGCCACTTGACACGCGTTGTTGTTTGTTAATGTAACTTGGAAGTAATTTTTTAATTATTAAAAAGCGTAATTTTCTCAGTTATTACCAGGTGGTACAGAATGCGAAAGTTTAATATAATTATCATTACTGAAATATTTTCATATTTACTACACTATTTCTCGTGTACATATGTATGTATAGCTTAAAAATACTGTACGAGTTCTAACCGACATTAAAAATTGTTGATAGCTTTCTTTGCATACTCGTATAAAGGACATCGCGTGACTGAGTACCTCATAAAGTATACGTGCCCTAATATACCCTACACGCGAGCTTTGTTTGCTAGTGGAATTTACTAAGGTATCGATCGCTCACAATCCACAGTTACGAGTAAATAAAAATGCGTTCATCTCATAGACTCTATAAATAAGCTTGTCAGATTAAATCACGAGCGCATTATTTACTATACCTTCATTTTCACATTTATTTAATATACCTTCGTCGTTATCCTTACGACTCCCAGGTCTCTTCCAATTTTAGTCACCTAAGATCTCTACTCTTAATTCAATTATCCAGTACAAAATCAAGTCCTTCAATGTGAATTCAGTTGAACATGATATAGTGCCATAGCAATAAGCATTGAACATTGAAATGGCATATAGTTTTTAGTTCTGGTATATAAACTACCATGTCTTGAAATTAAAAAAAAAACATGTGCATGTACACGCGTTGAAAGTTATACTATTTTGGCGTAACTAGATAAAAATCTTTTTAATTTTTTTATCTTTCGCCTTATTCTACGTTTTTAGAAAAAACTACACTAACAATAGAAAAAAGGTATTTAATACATTGAAAGTTTCATTACAACGCATTATCTAGTTAAATAAAGTTTATTTAAATATCACAAAAAAATATTTCTCCATAATTAAAGAAAAGACATTTATTATTTTAAAATGTTGACTTAAACTAACTATCTTGAGGGTGTAGGTTTTTGTGACGGTGTGCGTGCGCATCGGAAAAATTACCCTCACCATTTCATTACAGTGGATTACAGAGTATTATTAAAAGAAAATACGAATGTAAAAACTTACAGGCACTAAAAAACTTTGTATCTAAATCCTTAACATATATAGGCTTTATTTACGAACATATTGTTTTTAATTTATTTCAAATAATAATGTATAAATATGGTAATAATATACAATTGAAATGCCATAATTACTATTTAACAGCTACCCCTTTTATCTACGCCGAAATTAATCATCAATTAGTGTGACATTTAAGATAATAAGTCACGTTTCGTATCACGTGTTTGTGACAAACATCTGTCTTGCTCGGGAGATGTCTACAATTGATGTTCAAGACACTTGATAAGGCACAAAAGGTTGGAAATTATCAGTGTGTGAAATATTATGGGTCAATGACTTGTGTTCAATAATGGAAACAAGCGTAAACAACGACTCGGTCTGCGTAAAAAATGTGAAATAGTATTTGAACAATTTAAGATTGCTTGTTTTCTAAAATACAATAAAGTTATAAAAGAATTTCAGTTCTTACTGCCTTTTAATTGCCAATTTTATAAGGTCATATCAAGATTTAAAAAAAAAACGAGTAAAACTATTCGTAGAAATCTATTAATTGTCTGTAAGATGGTGTTATTGAATACTGCCGAGTGATTAGGCAAGGTTTCCGTACAGCACACCGGGATTGGTTGCAGAAGTCGGCCGCGCAACATCTCTTAAGGCTGTCGGGCGCCATCGGGCCGGAAAGGATATATGCAGACTGGCAGTGGTGGATACTGGCAGCACTGCCTTTTCCTCATCTCGTCAGAGTGCTGGATTGCTTCTTCCATGAGGGGCTGAAGGTAAATTATTTAGTAATTAAAAGTGTGCTTCCTTCAACAGTACACACACTTAGGTGGAGATTTGAAGTGAAGTTTTGTTCTAGAAATCAAAATAGTATTTTAGTCCTCTTCAAAAGCAATTATTCATCATTTACTAAGTACAGGAGGGCAAATAAATTATTGTAAAAATGCACCTTAATACAAAGCAATAAAGGCAACCAAAACTGCGGCCGTGGTAGGCTTAGGCCTCTTTTAGTCAATATATAACATTTATCAATCATATGTATACTTATTAGGAAAATAATTTATTAAATATAATACAATTAATGAGTCTTCGTCTATTTTGAGGTCTTAGAGTGTGTCGTAATAATATTTTTTTAGTAAGAGTTGAAAGTCGCGCGTAAAAAATGAGTGCTCTTACGTGTTTCTGTTGTATTGAATGTAAAATTCGAATGTTCCAGGTGTTCTACAGAGTGGCACTAGCGATCTTGATACTCTTCCACAAACACAGCACCAATCAGAACTCGGAATGGTATGCTGAAGCGACGAAGAATGGCGTAGACCACGCCATCGATAAATTTTGTAGGAACATGCCAGCCTCTCCTACCAAGCTTTTGCGTACTGCTTTTAGTATTAGGGCGCTGAGGTTAGTAATGTATCTAATAAAAGAACAATTAAAATTGTACAAGGTATATTGCTTCCGGGATAATGGACATAATTCTTTGACAGACGCAAAAAATATGATTTTTAATTCTTTAATCTGTTTGGATATTTTTTCAACTATAGTATTTTCAAACGCGCTGTTACTTTACCAACTTACTTTCTAGAATAGTAGTTGTTATAAACTAAATAATGCCCATAACATTATCAGGCCTCTATAACTAATATACAGGTAATTTATTTACTTTTGTCGACGTTCCGACTGTTAGTCAATTATCCCTAAAGAAGTTTTATCAAAGGTTCGTATCCAAGAAGTACTCATGTATATAACAAAGAAAATCCTGAGCGATTTGCATTTTGTTTTAATCTATTTTCAAAATCTTTTAAATTTCAGTTCGCAGTACATATCCAGGGTGTTTATCAAGACGGAAATGACGCTCAAGTCGAAGCAGGTCATCACGGGAAATCGGCTCGTCCGGTCACGGTCATCGGATAATCTTCCCACCAGTCAGTCACAGGTCAATATCCAGATGATGTCGCACACTCTAACTATACGCGAGGTAAGTTATGTTTATACTAATACTTTGATTAGTTTTAATTTTTTCAAGAGAAATTGAAAATATGATAATATTTAATACAAGTTTATTATTCTATACAACATAGTTGAATTGTTATTTTGGTGGTGGATTATCAAAAAAATATGTTAAAATGTATATTCTCTAATATTACATTAAACATGTTACTTTCTATATTATTATGAATTATATATGTATCTTAAGTATTATAACTACACTAAATTTTATAGTGATGTGCAATATTTACATTATATTATGTATATGTGTATTAGAAGTGATTTTACTTGGTTTGCAGAAAATGTCTGAGGAAACGTGCAAACAGATGGTATTGTACAAGATAATAGGCGTGGCTTTGGCTTTATATCATTCGAATAAGTTTCTAACACGACTAACTTCAATTACATCGAAAGATACAAATTCGATGAATTATATTTCTTGTAAGATAGCTCCTGTCCTCTCCCACGAATCCAGTTTATGTTATGTTTCGAGCCGTGTAGCGAAATTATGTATATGTTCTCTCAGTGTGTACACAACACAAAATCATCGAAAAACAGTTACAGTCAATTGAAGTTCATTCTCATTGGCTTTGAATGGAGTTGTTTATTGTATTATTCAGTGTTTGTGTGTGACGGTTGAAAGGTTTTGGACATGAGCATGCGTTCTCGATTCAGGGTGCTTTTGATTTAACATTAGGTTCTAGGTATTCGGCATGATTGAGCGCTAACATTGTGACGATTTTCCGTTAGGGCTCACATTCGCCGGGCCCGCGCGCCCTTTCGATGGGCGTTTACCCAATACAAGCGATCAAGTCGCAGATTCTAGACCACAGTGAAGTAAGACGTAGTTTTGTCGCGTAAGCTTGCGACGTTCTCGATGTATGCACCGCTTGTCACTAGGTGTTTTAAAACGTCGCTTGTTACGAACTTGACAAGATCGCTTCGAATTATTTCGTTTTTTGTTGCCATTTTTGTGTGCGTGGTGGTCGGGTCAGATTTTATTACACGACTCTTAATTTAGGCCGCAGGAAAATTGTATTAACGAAGAATAAAAGCTCCAGGGACTGAAACATTGTAATGTTATTGCATAAAATCTGATCCACCAATGCATGGCGGCCCGAGTTTTATGTTAAAGAATTTCAATGTTTTGGTAGGCTAATTATATAAGCTTCATTAATTCGTTAAAAAGCCAAACACACTCTTCATCTACACACCAAATTAGATATTATCACTCCCATCAGTCGCGACCGTAAACAGAGAACCCAATTTTACAATTATCCAGTTAATAAAATATTTTTCATATATTTTAAACAGCAGTGTTGTATTTTCTAAAAATTTGCCACAGGAAATATACTTTGTTATGAGATGAACATTATTTGGTTCTATGATTACGGTTAAAGTCATTGACCCTGTAGTCAGTCATGATCACCGAAAGTATTTGCAGAGTCCAAGGTCCTCTCACCTGGCCCTGTGGTTCCCATTCCCTAATGCGGTGTTCAGCGATCAGCAGCAGCATTCTTCAGACCTCAGACAGAAGGTTTGAATAGGGTATCACTAATTTCGGGTGTAGATGTGGTGGCAAATTAATCGACTCTCTCTCTTCAAAATATTTGTTAGAATGTTTTATTTTTTTATTTTACCTTATCCGTTACCGTGTTATCGCCGCCTTATAATTGTAAATTTTTTTTATTTTAATTTTCATTTTCATTTGTTTTTTCTTTCTTGTAATATACAGTTAATTATTTCCAAATAGTATATTTAACCCCGTAAAAATATAAAATTTTAACTGTGGGACCCAATTTGATGACCAAGGTAATGGATTAAACATTTCCTATATATGCAGACGATATCACGTTTCTATATGCAAAACACATCAAAGAAAAACACAGTAATAAAATACTGATTATATTGGACCGTGTAATATAATAGTGTAAATGCGATAACAATTGTTCCATAAAATATTATGCGATCAATTATGTAAGTTATTATTTTTATGTTTGTGTAAGAAACATCTAGTACCGCGATTACATTGGGTGCTAAGGGGTGTTAGAACGCTTTAAGGATCTTAGACTCAGGCATTTTAGTATCATTTCAGTTCTATTTTTATTATAACATTTATTTTAATATATGCATTTTTTTTGTTTAATTTTGAAGAGAGAATGATGTCACTCAAGGGTAATAGATGACACAGTCCCACATTAAAACATAACCATTATTTTTTTATAATTTTTCACTGTCCTTTAACATGCTAGGCTATTTCACTTGGAGTCATTTTAACCTTGACACAATGTAGGATCATCTCGTGGCTGCTTGCGTATTGAAATTAGTCGTAAACATAGAAAATTATTTATTATATTTACTTCGTTATATATTTTTCAAAACTGACTTTAAATTTACGATGAGATAGCACTCATTCGAATATTTTTAAAGTCGGTAAACGGTCGTATTTTATCCGTAATTTAGTGATTTTTTAGGTCGTTGACAGCTTTTTATGCCAGCTTAATAGAGGCTCTAGATAAAAGTATTTTGTTGCGGGCGTACCGTGTGGTAATATAAAATTGTATGAGAATTGGGAATAGCTAATGCTAACGTAACAACTTCCAAGCAATTCATTTAGCAATACAGCTTTCACGCCGGTTTTAAAATATTTTTGTTTGGGCCACAAAGCGGTAGAACGTAGGTCAACATACGCAGGGTTTAATATACCTGTCGTAACTGTAATCATTTTTAAATGGATTACTGGTCACATGACATTATTTTAGAAATATCTACGAGTCGTAGCATTTACTACTGGTAATTTGGATATGTTAGACGTAATATTCTCTAGGTATGCACTGTAGTGTTATGGTCAAAGTGTCTCCTATTGCATGTTTGTTGTACAGTATAGTTTAATGTCTAGATGTTTCACAAAACCACTTGGCACCGTCACTAAACTTACAAGACTAATTATGTGCCGTCAATGTGTTTTAAATTATTACTTAAGTTAATTAAATGATATGACAAAATTCCTCCTCCTTCGTAAGGATAAAATTAATGTAGGTAAAATTTCATGAATACTTTACTAAATTTTATCAAAATTGATTTCATATTTAATCTTAAATCATTTTAATGCGTTTTATAAGTAATTGAATAATTTTATGCATAAGTAATTGAAAATCAAATTTCATAGTACTTTATTTATATTACAGAAATCATATTGTAGAAATAGTAGTTATATAAATGTTTATATAATAAAATATATTTGTTGATATTTATTATTTGAATGCAGTTTAATATTTATTAGTTAAATAGCTAGATTGTAGCCTTTTATACCTTTGTATAGCGTATTATTAATTTTTAAGTGACTGTGTGAAAGGGTTTATTTACCTATTTAGTAGAAACCCTCGTTTTATGTCGAAACATTTCCTTACATTTGTTAGAAAAATACTTTCATTGCTATTCCTACGAATGGAAAAAATAAAGATATGTTTTTTTTTAAATAAACATGACAAAACTTTCTAAATACTTAGAATTTTTGTATGTTGTACATATTAATTGAATATAAGACTATTTACGATTAAATACGTATAAATTGACGAGGTTTTCTGTATAAGACTCATTCACACAGTCGTCAGTATAACAAATACTTGGGCATGTAAAAAATTCCAGCTATTCACACTGTGGTCATGGCTGCCTGTCCGTATAACGATGTACCAGCCTGTGCTGTTATACACCACTGAGGAGCATGGTTGTTCACTGACCACTTTCTATGTGAGGGTTGAACATCATGAACCAACACTGCTGATGATCAAGACATGTAACAACGAGGTATGTACACCCGCAGTGTGCTCAAACTTGGGCATCTACGGATTGCTTTTTTAATATAAATAACTTTTAAATTATAAATATAATACATATATAATTTTTAAAAGAAGTCAAAGTCAAAGGTCTCTGCAGAGGTTTTACTTTGTATCACTTGAAATTAATGCGAGTGCTACCTGCCGCGATCACGTTTATGTATGCAAAAGAGCCCAAGGTCACGTTATACGTGCTTTCAAAAGAAAGTTTAGTTAATGGTTGACAACTCGTCAATATTGTTTTAGATCGTCTTTTGTTTTCGACTAATAGGCAAAAAACTGTTGGCTGTCGGATTTTTCAAGTATATAATTAAAATACTTAAATACATATTTTAGTAATTGATGGTAATGCATCTTAAAATAGTTTGCATAATAATTGTCTTTCTGACGTAAACGAAGAGTTGTTTGCATATAATCAATTCTGTGATGTCAAAGACGTAATAAATTATATTTGGATATAAATTATGTATGATTTGCAGTTATTTTTTCCACTAAATCATAAGACTACATTTATGGTGTGTTTCCCTACTAAGCTGTTTATTTATACCTAGAATATAAAAAAAAAGGTTGCGTGTACGTATGTACGCGCGTAGGAAGTTATACTTCTTTGGCATTATTAAAACTAGTTTTTGATTGCATGCGAATAATTAATTACAATTCAATAATCAAAGTCTGGAAAAGGAGTCATTATAGTCAATAAAGTTCAGTTTACATTTGAAAAATTAAATAAATAAATATTTATTATTATTCTCTTACATTAAGTGTATCATAAATTCTATTATTATTCGAATGTTGTTTTTAAATGTCCAATGCCGTGGGCAACTTCATACTGATAATTTTGTGTAACGGTGCGCGCGCATCGTAAAATTTCTCTCTCATAAATTTTTCATAACGCGCCTAAAGAAGTATAACTTCAATAATAGCTTCTCTATATGAATGTATTGTTAATTTCAGGTATTTGGTGCGTACTGCTCGACGAGATGGTTCGAGAGAAATCAGAAGGACGAAAGAGGAAACAGACAGGCCTACTTTGGCACTGGCGAGACTTTCCTATTCAGGTACACAAGGCTCTCTTTTTAAGACCAGCCTTAAAAAGAGACTAGACAATTTAATTCATTGTCTTTAATTAATATTTTGTCTTTTTCAACCATTTCTTGCAGGAACGTTATATATTTATATATATCATAATTTTATGCGAACTTAAGTAGAGCTAGATAGTACTTACAGTATTTGAAGGTCTTAAGAAGAGACTAGACAATTTAATTCATTGTCTTTAATTAATATTTTGTCTTTTTCAACCATTTCTTGCAGGAACGTTATATATTTATATATATCATAATTTTATGCGAACTTAAGTAGAGCTAGATAGTACTTACAGTATTTGAAGGTCTTAAGAAGAGACTAGACAATTTAATTCATTGTCTTTAATTAATATTTTGTCTTTTTCAACCATTTCTTGCAGGAACGTTATATATTTATATATATCATAATTTTATGCGAACTTAAGTAGAGCTAGATAGTACTTACAGTATTTGAAGGTCTTAAAAAGAGACTAGACAATTTAATTCATTGTCTTTAATTAATATTTTGTCTTTTTCAACCATTTCTTGCAGGAACGTTATATATTTATATATATCATAATTTTATGCGAACTTAAGTAGAGCTAGATAGTACTTACAGTATTTGAAGGTCTTAAGAAGAGACTAGACAATTTAATTAATTGTCTTTAATTAATATTTTGTCTTTTTCAACCATTTCTTGCAGGAACGTTATATATTTATATATATCATAATTTTATGCGAACTTAAGTAGAGCTAGATAGTACTTACAGTATTTGAAGGTCTTAAAAGAGACTAGACAATTTAATTCATTGTCTTTAATTAATATTTTGTCTTTTTCAACCATTTCTTGCAGGAACGTTATATATTTATATATATCATAATTTTATGCGAACTTAAGTAGAGCTAGATAGTACTTACAGTCTTTGAAGGTCTTAAAAGAGACTAGACAATTTAATTAATTGTCTTTAATAATTATTTGGTCTTTTTCAACCATTTCTTGCGGGAATGATATATATTTATATATATATATATATATATATATATCATAATTTAATGTGAACTTAAGTAGAGCTAGATAGTACTTATAGTCTTTGAAAATTGTTTTATTCCATAACTCTGCTCATACTGATAAAATGAATAATATGGAAACAGGAAAATTAATTTATATATGATATTTTTGAAATTATGGCTAAACATTGTGACTGGAGACAGGTTTCTTTTTCATACTTAAAGTACATAAGAGTATTTTTGCGCACAAATTATATTCCGAAAAACGACGAGAAATGTATGCCATGTTTTCTTTGTCAAGAACTCTACTACTTTGATACCATAGTTCATCAAAATTTGATCAATCTTTTGCAGTAAGACCAATTTCTAACACTTCAATATACTACTTAACATCTTTTATATTTCTTTGCTGAACTGTCTTTGGCTGACATTTTAGTCGACGCCATAAATTGTCTATTAGCTTTTCTAATTTGCCGCTATCGATTATTTAATTATGGCAATAATTTATTTTGCTCTTCGGGTAAAGGCTTTGCTTTTTCATTGGTCAATACGTTTTTGCATGCTTTACTTGTATGGACTTTTTTATTTTGCACTATTTTGCTTGCCTTATTTATTTGTCTTGCTTCTCTTAAATTGTAAAAACTCTTTCTCTGCATATTAATTACTACATATTAAAAAGGTTTTATTAATGACACAAATAGGAAAAACATTTCATACATAATATGTTGTATAATATAAATAATAAGTATGTATCTGCATTTTAATTTTGTACATGTTTGGGTGTAATTAGGTGTTGCCAGTTAAAAAAAATACAATGAATATATTAAAGAACTATGATAAGATAACGTCAAAACGTTTTTATAATTATGTATTTGATACGCTGAGTATCAACACAAAAGTCTTGCTCAAAGTAAACAATGCTATATCTTTACATTAGGTACTTTGGGTTCGCCAAGGAATTTCCCATTCAATTTTTTTTCTACTATACTTTTAAATTATTATTTATCTTTGACAGGGCAATTTGCGCACTTCGCGCTATATTTATTATATATAAGTCAAAGAAATTAAAATTACTGGCAACACCTTTCCGTTGTGTGTGACGCGTCCATTCGCTTACAGCCTTTACCCTGAGCGCGCAAAATACCCTTGGGTTGGGTGTTCAGCCGGAGATGGCAAGGAAGACCAACGAGTCGCTCACGGCTCCGAACTTTTTATGGCGGCAGACTCCAAAATGATCACCATAGGCGGAGGGTTAGTAAAAACATACGTATTTCCAGTTTGCATCCAGTCCGTGCTAAATATCCGTGGGTCGGTTGTGCTGCAGATAACAAAGATGGTGACTCGAAGACCACACACGCCAGCTCGCTTTTCATGGCCGCTGATAATTCTATGATTACTATTGGTGGGGGGTGAGTAGATGGGAAATCTCACCGGGAGTGTGGATTCTCAAACTACGTTTGGACATAAGATTTCAAAAATTGACTAATATCCCAAAATTTCTTTGTACTTTTCTATATACAATACAAAGCAATTTAAAAAAATACAGTTTACTAACGTCAAGTGTAACTTGAATCAATACGAATTTTGGACAAAGTTGAGGTTTATAAATAGATATCGATTTTAAACGTTGTCTACCATCTATCTCAGTTTGTGTTTGAGGGCTTATGACTGGGATATCTGGGTTTGAGACAAGGGATATGACACTTAGGGTAACTATCTCTCTAAGGACCAAGAGATAGGTTGTTTTTCATTTTTTCGTTGTTGTTATTAAATGAAATATTTAGAATAAATGCAGCATATTTTTGAAGTGAAAGTTTCATTAGGCGCATGAGAATAACATTTTTACGGAACGTCACGAAGATGTGCAGCGTTCTTGTCAAAGAAAAGGGAGAGAACGATTGAGACCGATTGAGAGAGAGTGAGAAGGGCGAATTACCTTATAGAATATTATATTTCATTACAAGTGCGGAAAGCCTGTCATTGCAAAGAGTTTCGAAGGTGAGGGTTGACAGTCGGAACAAGTTGCTATGACGGTTCCGCACGTGTACTGAACAACTACAAAAGAACATTTATGGAAAATGGCGCCAACCGTAAAAGAATATAAGCAGATTTTTTTATTCTTCACCCATTCTGGGTAGGCAAAGGGATTATAGAGATAGACTATGCCCATACAGCCAAGTCTTCAGTACAATTTTTTATTGATATGAAATGAAATTTAATGAGATGAAATGAAATGAAATCTAACCTAACTCATTGAATCAAATCATTAAATCTGATATTGAAACAAAGCAGTAGCTTCTTTTTAGAAATATTTGCATGAATCATAAAAAATTCTATGATTTTTTTTAGTAAAAACTTCGTGGTTGGATTTTTCTTTTTAATAGACATTATTTTGACAGTTGGGAAAGAAAACGCACTAGTTCGGAAAAAAAGCACGAGTGTGTAATAGCCCACATCCCGAACGCTATACGTCCCTGCAATACGCCACTTTTTGAGCAATGTATTAAAAATTCTATTTTTAATATTAAAATTTCGTAAAGAGAATTTATGAAATATTAGTATTTTATATTTTATGCAAAATAATTTATTGAAATCTCAAATGACGAATTGTAAATTAAATGCCACGTGTTTTTATTATCCATTAAATAAATTAACAAAAAATCAATTTGTAATAATTTTCGACACTTTTCATTTTTTAATGACATTCATTAAATTCCTATAAACCTATCTTCCTCCCTCTAAGTCTCGGAAATCTTAAGTTTTAGATTTGTATAGATATGAACAAGAGTTAAAAATTAGTTATCCAAAGAAGTTTCACTTCTGACATGTGTACTTTTTTTGTGTATAAAATAAGTGGATAAATTATTAGTAACCTCTAAATATTAATTATTAGTAAATGAATAATAATAATTTGAAATTCCAGAGACGGTCAAGCTATATGGATGGATGAAAATATCCGATACGGCAAGACGGATCGCTGCTCTACCTTCAACAACCCTCCACTCTGCCCCTCGGGCGACTTCGAGATCCGCGTCTTGGAAGTGTACGGCTTTGCAGGAGCGTAAGAACAACGGTCCTGAAGGAGTAATGTAATCTCGATTATTCATTGAGTGATAGTGTTTGTAAATTCGATGTACTTTTTGGCAATGCCGGTCGAGGTCGTCAATAGATTTCACGTTTGTTAGACATTTTGAGCGTCACTTCAGTATTGGATCGGCTCGATGTGCGATTTATTGATCACCCCTTGCCGCCTAACAGACTGTGTAGATGTATTCCTATTTATTGTACCCCGTAGTTATCGCATCACAGCTGTCCGAACAAGACAACGAAACGGGGACTCTAGGTTGTTTCTTTAGACGTATGTAAGTACAAATGGATGTATCGTACCTACTCGGATGTATTACGCTTATTGTAAAGCAATATTTGTTGGGCCTAGTCGTGGGATTGTGAACTGTGAACATTCCAGTGAAAATAAGGTCCACTAAAGCATATTTACCGCGTGGTTTAATTGGCAACGACAGTATTTAATAAATTATCGCTTAAGGCTTTTTAGGCGTGACTCTTTGCTCACAAAATGTACCAAAGATGTTTATTGTTGTCTGTTAGCGAATGTTTTGAGACAAATTTCTAACATTGATTCACGCACAAATCACTGTATTTGGTCAAACATATCGTTGAAGCTTGTAGATTTTATCAATATATTATAATGGCATAGTATATAAGCATTCGCATAACAGACTCGGGACTGCTGTAAAAGAAATGCGATTTAATAAGTATTATGGTTTCTGGTTAAATCAACACTTTACAGTAGTTCTTTATAACAGTTCCAAATTCATTGAAAGTATTATTGAGTCTGTGGTGGTGAGAAAAGTGCCAAAAACGGACCATCAGAATAACGTGGCTGGTTTGGTATTGTCGCTACTCGCATGTTTTACACGTGAAGTGTAATATTAAATTTAAAATAAATTTTGACATATAATTAGCTGAGTGTATTTTCGTCAAAGGTTCGCCGAAATTTTTCCAGTTTTATAATATTACTTAATGTAATTAAAAAGGTTTAGAGGACAAAATATAAATTCTATTACATATCCCTGTCAGTACAAAGGGGTTGCGTTCATATGGCCCGCGGCTTGTCTACGAATCTGTAAATATTGTTTCTTATTATTTTTTATTTATTATGATCTATAAAATGGCAGTCGTAATAAAGACGGTAGAGTAGGAGAGCCGGGTGTTGCCATGCCTTGGGCATGTTTGAAGCCTAAGACTTGTTTTTAAATTCAGATTATTTATGTAATTTATTGTAGGTAACGAGTAATGATTAATTGTATATTAATTTCTGCCTTTGCGAAACGTGATCGGTCACAGTTCGCGTCAGGGAAATTATTGTTTCGCTCAATTGTTTGAGTTTATGGCGACATTGTTTGCCGTGGAGGCGCGGTTTATTGCTGTTAGCTATTTGTCGTTAATCAGTGTAAAGTCTAGTCTTTATCCTGTTTTTATTCTATATCGATATGTCTATTTACGATTTGATATTTAAAATTGTGCGTTTTGCTCCTTTCGGGAGGCTCGTAGGCTCGTGGTTAGTTAGAATAAGTACATGTAAAGTATAAAGTTATTCGTTCTCCCTTTCAGTATTGTGATGTTGAATGTTCGAGCTGAGTGAATGTTAGTGCGCTGTTACGAATTACGTACTGTTACATTCGAATAGTTTATACTCCGCTAAATGGCGACGGTAGAACTCGTTTATTGTAATGTGAATGTTGCTTTATGTCTACAAAATATATAATCCCATACATATTGTGCTGTTTTTATTTTAGAAATAAGTTTTTGTATCATTCCTATATAATAAATTATAAACGTAAATCTAAACCTGGTGGTGTGGGCAAATATAAACAAACACTGATAAAAATTAAATAATCAATGAATGCGAAGAATTACCAACAAAATCAGTTTTTACAGATTACTTTGCGAAAGCTACCTTAGGATAACATTCACACCCTTCATTTTGAGACTACTATTTGATTGTAAAGGAAAAAAAAAGGTAATTACAAGAAAATATGTAACCATGCCAAACAAATATGGCACCATAATCCACATTATACTATATAAAGCTGAGGTACCTACCACTGTTCATTCATTCATTTGCCTTTTTTTTCCCTCTCCCTTTAGTTGGTTTTTAGTTTTTGACTTTTATATATAGACTTCAAAATTGAGTAAAGTAAAAATATGGCACATTTGGTCAAGAACAGGTGGCAATTTGATGAGATTTATAATAATAATAATCTATTTAATTAAACAGACTGACAGAATTCATAAGTCCATAATGACTATAATTTTTTTAGATACAATATTATCCTAAATGCTATATTATTAAGTTAGCTCTTAGCTATGGTAGGGGAGCCCAAGAGGGGATTTCGGGATTTACTAAAGCGCGGCAGATTAATATATAGGGGGATACCTTGTACCCGGTTAAGTACCTCCACAAAATATGAGGCCCATATATAAGGCCGCCCGTGAAGGAGACAGGATCAGATTAGTAAAAAAAAATTGACCATCAGATATTCCCGAGCGCGTCAGATTAAGGTAGGGTGAGTTAATTACATCCTAAAAGTGTATATTCCACTAATCTGACAATTTGAGTGACGGAAAAAAGGGGAGGGCAACAAAGTTGTAAAAAAAAAACGTCATCTCGACATTCTCGAGCGTAGCTAATTATTATTTTATTTTGAAGGAAATAATTCAAGAATAATGAAAAATATATAATCTGACGATTTCCGCAAGCCGAAATAACAAAAATTCGTCGATAAAGTTAAATGCGTGCAGCTGCGTGATGCCTACATTTCCTTAAACCGATCGGAATCTACTAAACGGCGTTCTAAATATTTCCCTAAAAATTACATTTCCTGTGAATTTGAACCGATTCGGACCGATAGATTTTGAGAAATTTTGAAAAATCTTAAAAAAATAAGAAATTTTTTTTTTTTTTTAAGTGGTTTCTTTATCGATCAACTTCAAAAACTAATCCGCCTTTGAGCTTGAAGAACCACGTCGATCGCCACCAAGCTGGTCAAAAGCGGTTGATTAGTTCGAGAGATATCGTGAACGAAAGAAACCCGAAAAAGTGTTTTTTCGGGATTACTCCGAAATTTGTGGTTCGATCAATTACAATTGCTTGATCCATTCAAAAGTTATTGCGGTTTGAAAATTCCAAAAATAGTGTTCTATGAAACTTCTATCAGACTTTCGAGCTGGGAGAGCTCAAATGCATAGAAATGTTATTTCTTTGAACTCAGCGAGCTCAAAATATCAATTTTAAGCGCCCAGGAATGGAATTAGCGGGAAGTTGCAGGGATGGCCCTTTAGGTGAACCGTTTTTCTAAATTTTTTTTGTCAGAACAGGCGAATCCCTCTAGATAATCGTCAGATTATGAGACAGTACGTTTAGAACATAAAGATGAACCACATATATCTTAATCTGACGCGCTTGAGTATTTCAAAATTGCGATTTTTTTTTGCAAATTATGAAAATGGCCGTGGGTTTGCGTCCCATCGAAATCGTCAGATTAGTGAATGAGAGCTTTTTTTTGGTGCACTTAACACTCCCTTAGAAAATCTGATGCGCTCGATAATTTTTATTTTTTTTTCATTTTCAACCCTTAAATATAACCACCCGCATCATGCAAACGATCAGATTAACATACGTACATTATTAAAAATACGTAGGGCATTGATGCTATCAATATCTGACGCGCTCGAGGATGTCCATGCAACAGTTTTTTTTTACATATTTAACAATCTATAGGCGCTTCCCCCACCGATGAAAAGGTATATATCATATAACATTTTTTTCTTCTTATTATCTAAGCTTTGCATCCCAATAGGTCTCTACGACGCTCGAGTAAATCCCCATTTAGCATCGTGGGCTCCCCTACCACTATATTTATATTATAAGGACTGTCAGAGAGATAAAGAAATACCCGATGTATTTGACCTTATCTATCCTCTCTAATAGTGTATCATTAAGATAATGAACATATATGAACTGCATATTTGTCACCCTACGTTAGAACCACTAGAATATTAAACACTGAACTTTTTACCTTAGTAAACTAACCCTTGAACAGCTTCATAGCTCTCACATATTTTCAAGAGATTCCTAAGTCTACAGACTGAAGTGCTCAAAAGCAGCATGTCATCCACATAGCTTATATTATTAGAACATATTAGTTTAGTTTAGAGCGAAAAGTACCTTTTGGACTAAGTATTTTATAGCATTGTTCAGAGAATGACTTGTTCCTGTGATTGGTAATTTGTCTAAGATGACAACTTATTTTATATAAGGCTGATGATATTAGAGATAATTTAATACCGAACCCTTTTTTAAAACTTGAATAAATATCAATAAACAAAAAAACATTGAATTTATTTCTATGTAATACAGATGTTCAAATTACATATATGCATACTAGTTATAGATAAAAATCAATATTGGATTCATAATTATATTTAAACAAAGTGTAGGTACAGCAAGTATTTGAAACAGTAAACAAAAACATGGTTACATGATTTTAGTTAACAATCCACAATTTCCTTTAACCTTGTTCGATAAGTAGAAACTCTCTCTGTGACTAAATTTAAGATACCTTTATTTTCAATAAATGATGCAACATCATCAAAGTCATCATTAATTTCATCTAAAGCCCTAAGTAAATTGTCTTCATTACATGTTTCCATATACACAAACATTAAGGTACTTAATGAAGTTTGAAGTTCTTTAGAAACATTAACCAAATCTTCATGATCATTTTCAGTGACTTGCTGATCATCAACCATGTAGTGTAAAGTTTTCCACATTTTATAACTTTGCATGAAATAATCATCAAGCTCACTTATTTCATTTATTTTCAAAGCTTTAATAACAGAAATTGTAGAATCAACTATGTCCACAAGATCCATGTCAATTTCCTTGCAGTTGACGAGTTTGTTTTCATAATATTGGAATGTAATTGTTATCATTTTTAGTGCATCATTTTTGTTGTCATTAAAAATAGAAACAGACTTGTCAAAACCAACTAGGTTCAAAATTATTTGTATACTTATAAGGAGTATACGTTCAAATTGTTCCTTCTCACATAAATCTCTATGTGTTTCAGCAATCTCAATATATCCTATGATTACACTTTCCAGTGCTTCAACACTTACAAAATGTCCAAAGAAATCTGACCACAGCTCTTCTATATTACAATATGTGCAAATAGTATTTAAATTTTCCAATGCATTTATAAGTAGGTCCTTCTGTGAAGAGTTCTTTAGAATGAAAAATAAATGCTTAGAGTAGCCAACTTCTATAAATAATCTTAACCAAATTTGAATATTATCACTACTTGCAAGAAAAAGACTTGAGTTTATTAAACGCAATAATTGAATTAAGATTAAACTATCATTGCCTTTGATACACTCTACTAGAGACTTCACAAATGGCACATGTTTAAGTAGATTTATCACAGCTTCCTTTTGGCAGCACATATTTGCAATAATCCCAACCACAATTTCTGCAATGCGTGGCGTTTCAATGATAGGCCAAGCAAAACTAAGGAGATTAAGAACATCATGCTGTAGAAGAAATAGAACCACATCTCTTTCTGCTGTCATGTCCCAAAGAGTACACAAGTCTTCTTCAAAGACCTGATCGAGGATTTCATCTTTAAGCGTGTCAAGGTTGGCCAATTTTAACAAAATCTTTAAAACAAACCGTTCACTATAGGCTGTGTCTCCAATGACGTCTCCTGTGACTTTTTCTTCCGATTGCAGTTCATCAGGCTTCATTTTAAAAAAGACAAATCAGGAAAGGCTTTTCATGCTATAATATCTGAAAGATTTTTAGTAAAAATACTTCGCTAAAGTAATGGAATTGTATCTATTTCTTTAATTCAATTCTTGTTAATTCATATTACAGCAAGATAGTATTAATTATTAATAATTCAAATCGCTAAATATTTTTCAACATTACAAGTACAGAACAGTAAACACTAAGAATACGAATCATGTAGAGAATAGAGAAGTGAGAACCCATTATCGACTACAGTTTAAAGATATATATTTTATCTTACGCCCTCTTAAGTTCAACCCCTCAATACTTAAGTTCATACGATAAAAACAATTGGATTGATAATAATAATAAATAAGACTCATTTATTCCTTCAGACATTTACAAAATATACACAAACTTAAAATAAATAAATTATAGATTGGATTGAGATTAGGACGACAGTTGGGGAGGAGACTGGAGAGTGCATAGCAGTGTGACCAGATTTTATTTGACGAATCTACTGCTTGTTGGAGGTTAAACACTACTGAACTCTACCGAAAGGAACGAGAAAATCCCAAAAATCTATTATATTTTTTTTGCTGTCGTGTTACAACGTAAAATATGAATGTTTTCTTGGTTAAACGATGGATTAATAAAAATAAGAATTTAATTTAAAAGAAACCAAGTTTTTTTTTAAATTAAAATCTTAATAAAAATATAATTAAACAAAAATCTATAAAATGAAACTTAAAGTTAAGATTTTTCATCTTTATGTTGGGAAATATTGTCATAAAGCTATTTTGAGTCCATTAACTTGAACATACTTCTGTCAGGATCAAATCTGCTACATGCTCCTTCCAACTGTCGTAGCCCCTCTTTTCCATGCATTATTGCAGCAACATTCTTATTATTAAATCGATTTCGATCTCGATTTTTAATCCTATTAATATCGGAAAATATTCTTTCTACTTTAGCATTTGACAAAGGTAGTGTCGTCATTTGCTTCACAAATCGGGACAAAATGCCATACTTTGGTTTGCTATTCGCGTCACAGAAAATTTTCTTGTACTTTGTCTTTGCAGAAATTGGTTACTCAGCTTGCAGACAGCTAGCAGACAAAATCTCGAAGTTTATTAAAATTAAACTGAGTACAACGTGTCGATTTTTACTGATAGGGCCCCATATAAAGAATTTGCCACGGGCCGGACGGTATCCGGCATTGTGTGACCAAATAATCAAATATATTTGTATAATAGGTGTTAAACGCTATATTAGGAATACTTTCTTTTAATTATATCTTACATGCCATACATACATATATATATTACCTACATATTGATTTTAAATCTTGGTGACATAAATATTGTTGATGTATGCTAACAAAAGTTAAACACTGCGATACCTAATTCATTGTTCGAAAATGGTGACAAAATGTGTTGTCATTTTCGAATTCGTCAAATTCGATAGTAATCAATTAATAATAGTTAAATATATTGTCTATATAAGGGTCTGTTTCACAATGTACGGATAAGTTCCAAATTAGCTATTTATTACTTATTGGTAGGATAAACACTATTGTTGCGTTTCACGACTGTCAGATAGCGCTATTCGTCACATAAAGTCCATCAAAAGTTATGAGTCCGATGAAGTGTCAAATAGCACAATTTATCTTCCAAATAATTTATGTGTTGCATAGCTATTTGGCACTTTATCCATAGATTGTGAAACAGACCCTAAATCTTTTTAAATTTTACTGTGGATATTGTAATAATTGTTATTTCAAATTAACCGTCAGGAATTAAACTCACGATGACTTTAACGATTGTCTGTATCTAAAAGTAACATAGGCATAGCGGGATTTCAACTGCGTCTAAAAAAAAGACAAAATGGATCACAATGATATATTTCATCAGAAAATAATATTAATATTATTATACACAAGTACATTAAACAATTAACGGTTCAGGAGGTACTGAGCAATGGTCCTGATGACGGTTCCGAGGACACGGTTGATGTCACTCTGAAACAAAAGCATTCATTAGAAATACGCTTTTAAAAAACTTATAACAAGTCGGATAGGTCAACCAACTGTATACTGTAATTGATTGCAACTCATGTTTAACCCCGTTACGGACAAACACAATTTAAATAAGTATTAGCATTGTAAAATACAACCTTATACTATAAATATGATAATACAATTTACGATTGTTGAACCGCTCTTATTTTTATCGAATTATATTTCTTTAACAAATATAAAGGCAAAAGTCGCAAGACCCTGATATATTCGCGTTTATATCCGTTTAAAAAGATTTATTTAATTTAAGATTAGTACTTAAGTTAACAAAGGACAATATTATGATATACTTAGTCGTAATTATAATCTATATATTTATATCCTGGGTTTGATAATGGGTTTAGTTGGCACAGAAGGCTTATCACCTACATGCTTTATTAAATAATAGTTAATATAGTCTCGCGAAAATTGGTTTAATCCATCCTCCATAGGAGTATTTCAATCGAATTAGATTATTATTACCTCGTTATCCTTGATCCAGGCGGGGATTCTTTCGTTGATGAAAACGTTTACACGTTCACTTTGGTCGTTTTCTTGAACGATGACTTCAATCTCAGCCTATAAAGTATTATAGTTTTTTAATAAGCGTAGTCCTACTTAAACAAGAATGTATTTCAGTAACTTAAGTAGTTAAAATAATGTAGCGTTCACAAATATACCGGTAAAATGTCATTAATATCAGTGGAATGTCAAAATGAAAATAACCTCAAGTCCTGCAAGGTCAAAACGAGCTTCGAGAGAGTCAATGTTGATGGCACCACCCGCAAGAATGTCAATGGTCACGTAAGCTTCACCGGAGAGACGGACGCCGGAGATTTTCAGGCTAAAAATAAATAAATGTAAAAAAGAATCCGATTTATAAACGTTTACCACCAATTTTCACTTGCATAATCATAACATAATCACAACAATGCCATATCAGTTTTATAACTGGTACCTTTAAGATAACTGTATAAAAAAGGCATTAAATCTTACGAGCCAGCGAGTTCAGAGTTGAGGTTTCGGGATAACAGCAAACCATTGATTTTGGCATTTCCTAGAAAGAAAAAAAAACATATTTCAGCTTTACAACATTAACGGAAACTAAATAGAATTTAAAAGTAACAAAATTAAAGTGAAACTTTTAAGCTGCTTTTAGGATTTCTACTTAATTGGTAACGTGTTCCAATTGGCTATTTATTATTAATATTTTTACATTTTAATATCGTTTTGATATTGAGTACACACATTACACACACTTACCAAGGCTGAATGCGAGCTCGGGGAGTTCTAAGTCGTAACGGAATCGGTTGAAGATGTTAGAGTAGTCCAATTGGTGGATGACGATGTTGCTGGCACCAGTGATTTCCAGTTCTTCCACCAAGTATTGGAGGTTAACGTGTCTGTTATTAGATAATTGAACAACATTAAAAATTGTTTTATACCATATTATAGTAACTATAAAATACAATGTGTGTCCCTAAGTAAATAGAAATTACTTCAGTTCTTCCGACTCTCCTCTTCTCAACTTCTATGGTAATAAATACGTGTATTGTGCGAAAGGTAGACTATGTGTGGATTTCTGTGTGTGTGAATGTATAATAACTAACAGCTATCTAATCCTCCACTTCTCTATAACTTAAATTTTGCAGACATCGGTAGCTATAATTGTTGCTTCAACCCATGAACACTAAGCGGGTAAGTATTACTTTACTTAATTATATGAAAAAAATTCTCATTTTTCTATAAAGATTACTATTAAAGCTAGATCTAGATCTAAGTACAATATAGTGTTCTCTACGCCGACCCGACCCGACAACGGCTTTCATGTACGCAATTTCCACATAAGCTTATGATGTAATTATGACCTGATAGTCTATCATCAAAATGAATTGCACAATACTCACGGTAGGTAGACTACTTCGCGATTACTTCGGGCTACAATGAATGGGTCATAATTGTTGTCGATGATCAGCTGACGGAAAAGATCAATGATCCTTTTGATGTTGTCAACAAAGTCGCGCCCTGAAAACCATTATCTTTTATAAAATATTCAAAACAATCAGCACCTATTTTAGTTGGATATATGTATATATAGAGTTTTTTGGTCTAGTAGCTTCAGTGTGCGACTCTCATCCCTGATGTCGTAGGTTCGATCCCCGGCTGTGCACCAATGGACTTTCTTTCTATGTGCGCATTTAACATTAGCTCGAACGGTGAAGGAAAACATCGCGAGGAAACCTGCTAGACGCAAAAAGTCGACGGCGTGTGTCAGGCACAGAGGGCTAATCACCTACTTGCTTATAAGATTGACTATGAGCATGAAACAGATACAGAAATCTGAGGCCCAGACAGATTTTTTTTATTTATATGTACATAAATAAAATCTCCGTTCCGTGTTACCGTAAGGAAATAATTATGAACATTATTAAGTCTACCTAATTAATTTTATAACATTATAGAAAACTCTAGACATGCATCACAAATGAAGTACTCCCTGCAGTGATTACTAAAATAATTATCTCTAGTCCAGGCATGTCGTACATTTATAAATGTATCAATGTATTAATTTATTATTGTACCCTACATGCATATCAACCAATGTGACCACAAAACAAGCATAAAAATTGAAATACTTACATTTCTATAGAGGTAATATTCTAATTTAATTAACTAAAGAGACATAAATAATTGTTACCAAAAAATTCAGATTAGTTACTTTAAAGAGAAAATATTTCTCCATATACACACATACCTTGGAGCTCAGAAACCTGAGCTTCGGGGAAAGCCGAGGCTCCGGCCACGAGGAGAGCGAGTCCGAATACGAGGAATTTCATCTTGTCTGACTGTAAGTAAAAAAAAATCTTTGATGTAACTGTTATGTAATGATATAACTTGAATTTGCCCATACTTTACGGTTATTATCAGAATTTTTATATAATGCATGTAAAATTTAACACATTTAATTTTTGACCATAAACCATATAAGTAGATACATTTAAAAAAAAATAGTAATTAAAAAATGTGGAAGTAATTATAAAATTTGAATATGAATAAATATATATTTCGTAAATGAAAACAAAATAAGCTTAAATCTAAGTTCAATTAAGAATTCAAATTGATCTTTAACTTACCTTGTGCAAGCACGTAATGGTGCATGCAAAAAAGTGTCAACTTTTATACGTTTTGAATAGCTGGGTGCTATCTGATAATTTAGCATTAATCCATTTTAGATACATTCTTAATCTTTGATATTAATTATCATCATTAATAATTGTTATGTAATTCACAATTGGTACTCCGTGAACATTGTTATTTTTTTCTAGTTATATATAATATTAATTAATATACGTTTAAGAATTAAGATCCTTCAAGAAAAGCGGCGGACGGTATCACTTGAAAAATCAGCCCATATTAATAAACATGTTTTTATTTCTTATCCGAATAAATAATATATCAATACAAGTATTTAATTTTGAACAAAACTTCCCTTGATATAATTTTATTTTAAAGGATATGTTTTTAAAATAATTCCGCAACTGAAACGCGATTCTCAATCATTGATGCGGATGACACCGGGGTGCACAGCTAATCATTAATAAATTACGATAAAATGCATTTATTATTAACAATATTTGGAATTGGAACCGAACAGCTCAGATAATATTATGACGACAATTTAAAAGACAGTTTTATATAATCCATTTTTTACTAATAATATTGTGTATCAAAATTTCTTCTAATATACACAGGCACTCTTGAAGTTGTTCATTACTAAGATCGAACACTTGTTCAAAATGTAATATTTTTTTATAAGTTATGGGTACCTTAATTTTGATCGACTACAAAATTTTACTTTAAGAAAATCGATAACTAAGCCATAAATTAAAATATTTTTATACTAATACAATCAGTATAAATTAACCCGGAATTGTATTGTTTTCACACATTTTTTGTTAAAATTAATATTTGCTTGGGAGCGACTTTCTTTTACCTCTTTTTATGAGATGTTGAAATCATCCTCATCAACAACGGATAGATGCGTACCTGGGCCATGTGTTGCGACATGACCGGTATCACCTCCTGCAATCTAGTATGATGGATAAAATCCAGGGTAAACGGCGCAGTAGGAAAAATTCGTAACATTATCGAGTAGGGTACTGCGACGGCGAAAGAATTGCTGCATCTGGCTCTCGACAACACACTCTTCACAAGACTGACGGCCAACATCCAGTAATGGAGAGGAACCAAAAGAAGTAGAAGATAATAAGATAACGGATATATAAAAATGAATTCGGACCATTAATAAGAGAAAATTATTTATATATAGACATCGGGTGGTGTAAGATGCTTGAAGTTACACACCGAGCAAAATCGTATATCATGTAGACAAATGAGTGTGTTTGAAGAAAAGACTGAAGCTGCATTAAGGAGCATTCCTTATCCATAACTCTTCTAATGAATTTTACTAACAACAAATCGTTTGCTTAATGCTTAATGTGTTAGTAACAAGTTTAAAAGGTATATATTTTTTTAATTTTTTTTATAAGATAGGGGGGCAAACGAGCTTGCGGGACGACCAAAAAGGGCAGTCTTCGCAGCATGGGCTGCGAAGACTGCCCTTTTTTGGCCGGCAACACACCCACATAAATGGGTGTCTATGGAGACACCCATTTATGTGGGTGCGTTGCCGGCCTTTGAGGGAGGAGTACGCTCGACTTTTAAACATTTGGAGGTCGTATCTCTGAGGGAAGACCCCCACCGGGAGTCGATTCCACAGTTCGCTAGTTTGCAATAGAAAATGCCTTGTGAAACGGACCGTGGAAGACCTCCAACCATCATGATGATGTTGGTGAAATTAAGAGTTCATACGACTCGTACGGTGTTGGAAAGAGGCAGGAGGGATCAACCCAAACAATTCTTCCGAACACTCTCCGTAGAATACTTTGTAGAAAACGCAAAGAGACGCAATGTCTCTGCGTAGAGAAAGAGAATCAAGCCGATCAGTAAGACATTGGAGATTGACAATTCGACAAGCCCTTCGCTGAATTTGGTCAAAAGGAAGAAGCTGGTATTTGGAAGCACCGGCCCAGAGATGTGAGCAGTATTCCATATGAGGTCGTACTTGAGCTTTGTAGAGCTGCATACGTTGTACCTCAGTGAAATACTGCTTAGACCTACCCAAAACACCCAGCTTTTTGGAAGCCAGTTTAGCTTTTTCTTCCAGATGACTGCGGAATTGGACTTTTTTCGAAATGCCAACCCCAAGGATACTGAGGCTGTGTGACGAACTAAGGAGAGCGCCTTCAAATTGAGGAGACACGATAAACGTTCGTTCACACGTTCTTTCTTGGCAGAAAACGAACAAACCTGAGTCTTTGTAGGATTAAACTTAACAAGGTTGTTACTACCCCACACAGAAACCTTCTCCAGAATCGACTCAATTTCGAGAACAAGTATGTTACGGCTCTCATCGACTTCAGATCGAGACATGTTTGGATGGCCGGAATATAATGTGTCGATGGTGCTGTCGTCTGCATAGCAATGGATGTTGTCGATATTCAACAGGTCATTGATATGCAGAACGAACAGGGTCGGCGAAAATACACAGCCTTGCGGAACGCCTGCATTGATATGGGTCTAGGATTCGAGCACGCTCCGTCAACTAGGACTTTTATGCTACGTCCTACAAGAAAATTTGCCAGCCATCGGCATAAGCCATCGGGCAAACCGTATGACGGTAGTTTCGAAAGAAGCGCGCTATGCCAAACCCTATCGAAGGCCTTAGCTATATCCAAGCTAGCGGCCAATGCCTCTCCTTTACTTTCCACAGCTTCGGCCCACCTATGAGTTAGATAGGCAAGAAGATCACCAGCCGAGCGGCCACGGCGAAAGCCATACTGACGATCACTAATTAGCTGGTGCTCCTGCAGATATCGCAAGAGCTGCCTATTGATGATAGACTCCATTACCTTGGAAAATAAAGAAGTGATTGCGATAGGTCTGTAGCTGCTTTTGGGAATGGGATGAACATGGGCAGTCCTCCATGAGCTTGGAACTACGCCCGAGGAGTACGAAAGTCGAAAGAGCCGCGTAAGCACCGGAGTCAACTCAGATGCACAAGTCTTAAGAACGATCGAGGGAAGGCCGTCAGGACCACTCGACTTGTGGTTATCAAGGGAGATTAAGGCCTTCCGCACACCAATCTGTTCGAATCGAACTTCAGGCATTGAAACCCGCAATGCGGAATAGTAGGCGGTAAGGTCCCTGAGTCATTGAGCGTGGAGTTAGATGCAAAGAGAGAGCAAAGGAGCTCTGCTTTCTCTTTCGCCGAGTGAGCCATCGAGTCATCCTCCTTTCGCAAGGATGGTAAAGAGGGCTGACAAAAGTTTCCCTGAGTTGCTTTCGCCAATGACCAAAAGGCTCGAGATCCAGAGGGCAATTTCGCGAGCTTTTCACCAATTCTGCCAATATGTTCCGATTTTGCTTTAAAAATTTCTCTTTTAAGGGTTCGGGTAGCCGCGTTAAATTTCTTTTTATGAAGAGCTACATCGGGATCCTTTATAGCCATTGTGTGAGCCCAGATTTTATAGTACTCTAGCTTAAGACGGGAAGCCTCTTTGCAAGAATGGCCAAACCATGGCCGAGATTTACCACGAATGGGAACCATAGAGTAAGGAATATAGAGTTCCATTGCTTGTAGCACCACATCGGCGACAGACTCAGCGCTGGCGTCAGGATCACTATCCTTGAAGCAGACTTGCGACCATGGGTATGCTGCAAAGAAATGACGCATGTCATCCCAATTGGCCGATTTGTAATGCCAGACACGACGGCATTCCGAAAACTTCGGGCGGGTTCGACGCCTTATTGGCACGACGGTACGCACCAAGCAGTGGTCGGAGGACCCAAGTGGGGCATCCACAGTGACCTCATAGAAGTCTGGGTGAGAAGTCAGCATAAGATCTAATAACGAAGGCTGATGCTCAGCTCGGTCTGGTATTCGCGTAGGCGTTGTGACCAGTTGAGTTAAACCATATGCAACAGCGAAATCATGGAAGCCTCTTCCCAAATAGTCGGTCGTACGAGAATTCAACCACTCAGAATGATGGGCATTGAAATCACCCAGTATAACGACTTCAGCAGGCGATAGAGACAAGGGAATCGAGTGCAGTTTGGACATGTTCTATAAGTCGATCGACTTCGGTGTTGCCGCTGTGTGACCTGTAAAGGCAGCAGTATATGCGGGGATGGTCAGCACATTCTACGCGTACCCACAAGGTAGAAAGATCGGATTCTTCCAAATGTAAGAGGCGACGGAAATTAATATCCTCACGAAAAGCATATAACTCAGCCTCCAGGTCCTTCAAACGGGAAATCACTAAGGCAAAGTCAGAGCACATTGCCAGATTTGGCGAGAGATTGGCCCAACTCCCTTCAGGGACTCGAGCCTTCTGGTCTCTCGCCAAAGCTGTCCAAGGGAATTTTTGTCAGCCCGCCATTCCGCCACTGCACAGGGAGGATGACTCTCTGGCCCACACTGCGAAGGAGAAGGCTGACCTTTTGGGCTGTCTCTTCGCGTGCAACTCGACTTTGGATGACCGAGGGAGATCACCACCGACCATTTCGCGGTGTGATTCTTCGATGCCGGAAATAACATTCCGGCAACGTGCTGTCCGCAAAGCACTATCTTCCTTGGACATTCATAAGTCGAGCGGGCCGGATGGTATCCTCCCAATTGTGCTGCGTACTTGTGCTCCTGAGTTGGCTCCGGTCTTAACGCGCCTTTTCCGGTACCTGTACTCGCTCGGCACTGTCCCGAAGTGCTGGAAGACCG